GGAGCCGGGGACGGCGACAGCGGGGCGGGCTACAAGCGGGGGGCCATGGGCAAGGACTATTATCAGACTCTGGGCCTGGCCCGCGGCGCGTCGGACGAGGAGATCAAGCGGGCCTACCGCCGCCAGGCGCTGCGCTACCACCCGGATAAGAACAAGGAGCCCGGCGCCGAGGAGAAGTTCAAGGAGATCGCCGAGGCCTACGACGTGCTCAGCGACCCGCGCAAGCGCGAGATCTTCGACCGCTACGGGGAGGAAGGTGAGTGAACGCGTGGCCGGGGCGTGCCCCCGCCGTTTGACAGGTGGGGAAACCGAGGCCCGGCGGCCTTCCTGGGGGCCGCCCCAGGCTCGGGGGCGAGCGGCCCCCGCCCTCCGGACGCGCGGGTCTCCGCCCTCGGATTGGCGGCCGCCCGATGGAAGGAGGAGCCCTGGCTGCGCCGCTCGCTCGCCTGGAAGCTTCTAGCACGTCTGGGGCTGCCCCTCCCCGGGCGCCCTAAGTCCCCAAGCGGGCGCGGGAGGGGAGGGGGACGGATGCTCATCCCGGCCGTGCGAGCTGCGGGCCCCGGGCTGACCAGGGCACAAGCTGCGGGGAAGGAGTCCGCGAAAGGGGAGCCCGGGGGTTCGGGGAAGTCACGTCTGCCGGGCGCTCACCTACCCCGCGCCAGGCACGTAGCAGGCGGCCGCAGCCGCCCAGGTGCAGGGAGCGGCCTCCGCCTCTGCCCGGCCTCCTGGGGGCAGAGAGCGGGGCTTACTTGCCTGCTGATGACTCAGACTGGCTCCTGGGCTCGATTCTAAGAAATGAACTGAATCTTTCTATCAGGGTGGTGGCAAGTGAAGCCAGGTTGTGAGAATCTGGAAATTCTCGGTGTGTTTTTTTTGTTTGTTTTGTTTTGTTTTAATCTTCATTTATTTCTGCCCTCCCCACACGATCAGCAGCCCTCTTACTGAAAACCGATCTTTCTTAGCCGATTATGCCTTGATTCGCTGATGTCTCAGTAATTCTTTGTAAACCTTTGCAAGGGGTCCGTTGGGAAGTGGCAGGGTCTGGGTGGCACCTAGAGATGGCCACCTCAGTCAGCCCTTTGGAGCTGTCATGCCACACTTAAGTACTTGAGGGGTCTGTCTTTGCTGCTGCAGGAGGAGGTAAAATCTTGGGTTCTTCCTTGCTCTTTCCTAACAGGCTTAAAAAAAATTCCCTCCCCATGGTTTCCAACCCTTTTTCCTTTGAGGAAAGCTTTCTAAAGAGAGAAACTCTTGGCGAGCCATCTAACTTCTGATTTTTCTTTTCAGGTCTAAAGGGCAGTGGCCCTAGTGGCGGGAGCAGCGGCGGTGCCAATGGTACCTCTTTCAGCTACACATTCCATGGAGACCCTCATGCCATGTTTGCTGAGTTCTTTGGTGGAAGAAATCCTTTCGACACCTTTTTTGGGCAGCGGAACGGGGAGGAAGGCATGGACATCGATGACCCGTTCCCCTTTCCCATGGGCATGGGTGGCTTTACCAACGTGAACTTTGGACGCTCCCGCCCTACCCAAGAGCCCACCCGGAAGAAGCAAGATCCCCCTGTCACCCACGACCTTAGGGTCTCCCTTGAAGAAATCTACAGCGGCTGTACCAAGAAGATGAAAATTTCCCACAAGCGGCTGAACCCAGATGGAAAGAGCATTCGAAACGAAGACAAGATCTTGACCATCGAAGTAAAGAAGGGATGGAAAGAAGGGACCAAAATCACCTTCCCCAAGGAAGGAGATCAGACCTCCAACAACATTCCAGCTGACATCGTCTTTGTTTTAAAGGACAAACCACACAATATCTTTAAGAGGGACGGCTCTGATGTCATTTATCCTGCCAGGATCAGCCTGCGAGATGTAAGGCACTAGGCGGGGCGTTATCTGTGGAGGGGCATGGCTGCTTTCCTGAAGCAGTCCAGTATTTGCTCAACAGATGTTTTCTGGGGTGCAGCAGTGAACGAGGCTGACAAGGGCTCTGTTCTTCCAGAGCTTCCAGGCTGGTGACATGGGGAGATTGGGGACAGGGTCGTAGCTGCAGGGACCTGATGGATCTTACCTGACACCAGACAGCCTCTGGACAGGAGTTGAGCTCCCTTAGTGCTTTTCCAGCTAATGCTGTTTTCTTTCCTTTCCAAGGCTCTATGTGGCTGTACAGTGAACGTCCCCACTCTGGACGGCAGGACCATACCCGTCGTATTCAAAGATGTCATCAGGCCTGGCATGCGGCGAAAAGTTCCTGGAGAAGGCCTCCCTCTCCCCAAAATGCCTGAGAAACGCGGGGACCTCATTATTGAGTTCGAAGTGATGTTCCCTGAAAGGATCCCCCAGACATCAAGAACCGTACTTGAGCAGGTTCTTCCAATATAACCAAGGACTGACTGGGGACCTTTCCAGAGCTCAAGGATTTCCAGACCGTTCCACCATTTGTGCACCATGAGAGGGCGGGGGGCCCAGGGAGGGCTTTGATACTGCTGAATGTTTTCCAGAGAATATATTACAATCTTTCAAAGTCGTGCACTAGACTTAAGTGGTTTTTCTAGCGATAGGACGGCAGGTGGTGGGAACAGCAGGAAAAGGCATTCCAGTCTGCTCCTCCAGGTCTTGCAGCCCTCCAGGGATGGGCTCACACCCTCCACCTCCAGTCCCTGCCCACGGGCCAGAAGCAGACCCGCAACTGGACTTGATCCCTCTGTAGTCCCTTTGCTTCTGCTGTTAGGTAGTCTCCGCCTGCTGTCTTGGTTACCAGACCCTGTACACTTCTCAGTTTCTGTTGTGTGACAGTTTGTGTTTTTATTCTGTATTTGTCTCCCACGTCTTGCTGTTCCCCTGGAGAATCCTGTCTTCTTTTGGGTCATCTCAAGTTGTGAACCTAAACTGTTTCTGCAGAACTGCCTGGCCAGCACCCACAAGCAATACCTCCGTTGCAACAGGACCAAGGGAGCCAGCCTACAGTGAGTGAGTCTCGCAGCCCCCCTCTCCCTCGAGAGTCGAGGGGCCTGACCGCCGCCAGGCCCCTCCCAACCTCTGCCTCTGGTGAAGCTGAGTGTGCTCACTTATGGGTCACATTCTATTCTGTAAGGCAATCTTTGGCACACCTGGGGCTACCAGTGGCCCAGGTCATTTTTTGTTTCATGGACTCTGGACTCTGTTTCAAAGGGATCTGATCCTTTTGAATTTTGCACAGCCCTAGATATAATCCCTTTTGATAAAAGGGTCTTTGCTTCTGATTACAGGAGCACTGTGAAGCATCTGTAAATATGTTTTTATAATCCATGTAAAATTGGTGTGCACTCAAATGAAACCAGTCCATAGCAGCCGCTGCTCTCTGTGTAGGGTGAGAATGGAATTCAGCGGAAACCTGGGGAGTGGGAGAAATTGGAACAACTGTCTGTTCCCTGGAGACCAGTCTGGTGCTCAGACCTTTAGACTCATTGTAAGTTGCCACTGCCGACATGAGACCAAAGTGTGTGACTTGTCAATATGCAGTGTGACAGCATTAAAGACTGATGCTAAACCTCAGGGGAGCAGTCCCGCGACTCTGTTTGAGGGCTCTTTTGGTTCTGGGGATGGGGCTGGGGCCCTGGACATCCCTCCAAAGCATGGGAGGAGGGGTGAGTGGGAGGCACAAATCCTCGGCAGAGGAGAGAGAAGCCTCCCTGGGCCATACGTGGGTTCGAGGCCTTCAGTCAACTCTGACTCTGGATCCAAACATCCAGAGACCCAAGTGCAGTGGATTCAGAGCTCGTTTTTTGGATAAAGATTGAGGACAAAGTTGAGGGGGCAGGGGCCGGCTCCTCATTCCCCTTCCTGACTTTCTCAGGGGACCTGGTCCCCAGGACCAAGGGATGAGTAAATGGTCTGCCCTCCTCCTTCCCCATCACTTCTTTCCTGCTGGAACAGGCTGATGTCAGACAGGCCTGGCCAAACCAGAACTAAAATTCCAGCCTCCTGGGAGCCAGCCTAGGGCTGGCCCCACCCTGGGGAAGACCCATTTCCTGCCCTGGCTTTATTTGCAGGCCACTGAAGCTGCTTTTATTTTGTAACTTTTTTTAAGGAATTGGTTTTATTATAAGGTAAGTAATTACACAGTCTTTAAACAATGTACTGTGTTGCTACTTTGCTACAAAGTGTTTTAAAATAAAAACTTAAATAGCACTGTAGCAAAGTCAACCAAAGAGTTGCTTTCCCTTTCCACTGAAACAATTTAACCACTGAAAACAGTCAAGGGGCAGCTCTGTCCAAGAGAACTTTCTGCAATGGCTGGAATTTAAATAATTCTTTCAAGATTGAATAAAATTAAACTCTCAGTTCCTTAGTTACTCCAGCCACATTTTATTTTTTATTTTATTTATTTGTGGGGGGAGGGCAGCTGGCCAGTATGGGGATCCAAACCCTTGACCTTGGTGTTACAACACCAAGCTCTAACCAACCAAGTAAACTGGTCAGCCCACAACTCCAGCCACATTTTAAGTGCTCAGCAGCCACATGTAGCTAGTGGCAACTATTGGACAGCGCAGGTCGCTGTCCAGGGGGTTTTTCATCTAGTATAGAACATGGGTCACCTCCAAAGAGCAGCCACATTAAGCCAGGAGATGCCATTCCAGTCAAGACGGGACCCCTGGAATATTGGAGTCGAAAGAGACCTTATCAAAAGAGGTGTTTACTGAACTACTTCACATGCTAAGATCACGTTTACTGCAGAACTGGCCCTCCCCCACCCAGTCTGCATTACACAGCAGGTCTTTGTGAACTTCGTATTCGTATTGAGGTGCCACCAACCCATAACAGAGTGCATAACTGTGCACTCTGCTTTTTCTCCCACATAATGTGGAAATAAACAGCTTCCTCATTTCTGTTGTTCCACACCTAGATTCTGTCCAGTCTCTCCAGAAGGCTGTGAAGAGCCAATTCATTATTGGCCCCTGTCTCTTTAGCCTTTGTTCCTGCTTCCAGATTTGAGTTCCAGCTTGACCACTTTGTAGCTGCGTGACCTCGGACAAATGACCTAACCTCTCTGTGCCTCCATTTCTTCAACTGTAAAATGGGTATAGCAATAGTACTTCTCTTCCAAGTTTATAAGAAATTGCAGATACATAGATACACACCCACCCCAGAGGTTACAAACCTCTCTTCTAGGTTTGTAACGATTTCAAGATAGATACACATGCACACGCACTGGGAAGGTACTGGCATAGAATAAAACTGCCAGTTATTATCATCATTACACCCTATGTGAAGATTTCTTAGCCCACGGCTTATAACCCCAAAGACTGAGGTGAGTCTGGGGTCTTGGGTCAGTGCTCTGTTCAGAGCTCCAGGAATCAAATCCACAGGCAAGCTGCTGAAACCCTCAGCAGAGCCCTGGCACTCACCCCACCTGAGAGGCTGTACCTGAAGCACGATCGCTCCCATGCTGCCTTTGACGATCTGCTTGTTCAACAGAAGCAGCAAAACATAAGGCTCCACAGCAGGGCAGCCCTGCGTTTGAATCCCAGCTGTATCACTCTGCTGCTGTGTGTCCTTGGGCAAGTGACTTCACCTCTCTGAGTCTCAGTGGCCCCCTTTGAAAAGCAGGGGAAGGCCGGCCCGTGGCTCACTCGGTAGAGTGCGGTGCTGATAACACCAAAACCACGGGTTCGGATCCTATATAGGGATGGCCGGTTTGCTCACTGGCTGAGCGTGGTGCTGACAACACCAAGCCAAGGGTTAAGATCCCCTTACCCATCATCTTTTTTTTTAAAAAAAAAGAAAGAAAAGCAGGGGAAATGAGAATACAGATCTCAAAGAGGTGTTGTGACAACTGGGCGAGGTACTGCACCAGGGAAGCAAAGAACATAGCCATTAAGAACTCAGCTTCCGGAGGGTAGTGGTGCCGGTTCAAGTTCTGCTCCCTGCGTTCCCTTCAGCAAATGCAAAACCTCACCAAGTCTCAGTTTCCTCCCGTGCAAAACGGGGCTAATCATATGCAGCAGCGCCGCCTTTCTCACTCTCCCAGAGCTGCAACTTAGACAGCTAACCCCTGAGAAGTGCTGCTTCATACATGCCTGGAACAGAGCAAGTGTGCAGGTAACATTAACATTACCAAGTATTTCTAAAGCTCTTAGCAGGAAACCTGAAGTTCCTTTGTATTAGCTATTCTCATAATTGCCGATAATGGGGCTGGCCAGCGAGCTCACTTGGTTAGAGTGTGGTGTTGATAACACCAAGGTCAGGGGTTGGATCCCTATTCTAGCCAGCCACCAAAAAAAAAAAAAAAAAAAAAAAAAAATTATTGCCAATAGTGATGCAGTGCCTGCCACAAAATTAGCACTCCTCCATTCAATAAACATTTATTGAGCACCTACCATATGCTGGCCTGTTCTTAATGCTGGGAACATAGCTATAAACAAACCTGGCAAAATTTCCTGTCCATGTGGAGCTGATAGTTGAGCAGGGGTAAAAAGAAAACAAGCATAAACAAAACATCCAATATGCTAAATAGTGAGTGATGAGGGTAATGGACAAATATAAAACGAATGGGTAGAGAGTGTTGAATACAATTTTATTTTATTTCTGGTTTTGGTGGCTGGCTGGTATGGGGATGCAAACCCTTGACCTTGAAGTTATGACACCACACTCTAAGCAACAGATCCAACCGGCCAGCCCTTGGTATACTTCTAAATAATATGGTCAGTGAATTCCTTGCTGAAAAGGTGGCATTTGAGCAAAGACGTGAAGGAGGTAAGGGGGAGTTGTGTGGATACTGAGGGAAGAGCGTTCCAGGCAGAGGAAATGGCCTGTGCAAAGGCCCTGAGGCAGGAGTGTGTCTGAGTTGTTTAAAGGAGCCCAATGAGCTGAGCAGAGTGAGGGAGGAGAGAGTGGGAGGAGGCGAGGGTGGGAAGGTGACCAGGCAAATGATACCGGGCCTGGTGGGCTGCAGGGAGAGCTGTGGCGTTTCCTCTGGGTGAGGTGGGAGCTTTCAAGGATTTGGGGTTTGGTTTGGGTTTAGTTCTCTTCTGCTTGTGGTGGGGAATGGGTGGGAGGGAGTGTACGTTTCATTTGATTGTATGATAACTTCAAGTCCCTGAGCTATGTCATTGGTCTCTTGAAATCTCAGTGCACCAGGCTTCCATCTCAAAATAGCACAATGCAAACACTAAGCATCTATATTTGCTAGTAAAATCTAGTCTTTTAACTCATCTTCTCTCACGTGGACCTGAGAACGCTTTCACGATCTGCCGACTCCGCGCCAGCCCGGGGGGATGGAGTGTGATGTCTTCTAGATTCTCAAACTGTGATTATTCAGCCAGACACCTCCTCTCTTTGTCAAGGGGACAGGAGAGACGACCTCAAGGGAACACTCCAGAAGGTCTCACAACAAACGTGGCAATCCCAGTGACACTTGATGAAGCTCACAGTCTTCCAGGAAACACAAACCTGGGGGTTTCAGTTTCCTGTGGTTGCCATAACAGATTACCAGGAACTGGGTGGCTTAAACAACAGGAATTTATTCTCTTGCAGTTTTGGAGGCGAGAAGTCTGAAACCAAGGTGTCAGCAAATCTGTGAGGGATAATCCGTCCTGTGACTTTCCTGGCGTCTGGTGGCTGCCAGCAAACCTGGGCTGTGGATGCATCATTCCAGTCTCTGCCTCCGTCTTCACATGGCCCTACACTCTGCCTGTCTCTGTGTGTTCCCCTTTTCAATCCCTAATAAGGACATTCATCATTGGATTTTGGGCCCACCCTAATCCAGGATTATATCGAGATCCTTCACTTAATTACGTCTGCAAAGACCCTTATTATACGTAAGGTCACATTCACAGGTTCCGGGACATGGACATATCTTTTGAGGAGGAAGCCACCATTCAGCCCACTATACTAACCAAAGTACTTCCCATGAGCAGAGAGCTTAGAGGAGACAAGGCCTGGCAGACACTGGGCACACCGCAGAACAGAAGCTTGTCGGTGCAGGAATGGGACAGTAGAGCCCCAGGAATGAGGCCCCTAGGCAGACAAGGTGGACCCAGGGACCAGGAGGCACTTTCCTGCCTCCCCACTCCAGGCCTGGTGTAGTTGGAATAGAGAGAGTAGGGCAGGGCATGGCCAGAGATGAGAGCCAGGTGTCAGGGCCCTGCTGAGGCAGGCCCTGCGTGCCTGAGCTGGAAGAGAAACTGGTTGAGAGGGTTTGAGTCAGGAGGGACACAGCTCCATTTGCTTTTGCCTGGGAGTCACAGCTAGGACCTGGGTGGTTTACCTTAATAGAGGCCCAACTTTCCTTGGGAAGATTATGCTGGACATCATTGTGGCCAAGCGTGACTCCAGAAGAAAAGCTTTGGCACACAGGGACAGGTTCTTTGAGGGCACATGGCCTCATGGGGTAGGGGGTCATCAGCCTAGGGATGTGATCTGACTCAGGGGCTTGTAGGCGCCCTCTGGCTGCTGTGTGGAGTAAGGGCAGAACCCTCCAGGTTGGAGATGATAGGGCTGAATGAGCTGAGGGCTGGGGAGGGGGTAGCAAAGGATTCGAGATGTATTTTTGA